AAACGCACCACCCATCCACCCACCCAGAAGTTATATTCTCTCAGAAACAGGAGATTGGGTGAAACGGACAAAGATCAAGTATTTCTACTCCCAAGGAACAGAGTAAAAGGAGAAGGGAACCTAAGTGACCCGTCTTCAGAGGTAAAGGTAGGAGCGAGACAAAAACAAATCAGACCTGGCCCCCACAATAGGCTTTTCTTATCTTCTTCTTCAATGTGTCTTAACAAATTGACTAAAGATCTCAGACCTATTTTTCTCTCTTGGAGTTCCTTCCACTTAGCATAGGTCATTTTCTGCGAAAGTATTGGCTTGCTTTTCAAGTACCTTTTTAAGACACAAAAACTGCCCCAAAACTGCTATCATTTTTTGGGGAGAAATTACTCCCAAATACTTAAGGGTAAGGGAGGAATGAGAAAATGCCATACCCACGTTGATACATATAAAATATGCAATTCTTAGCTGATAGTTGTATTTGTCATTTGTGTTTCTTTGCACTTGTCATTACTAAAAACCATTATTTCTGTCTTTATAAAATCCTAAGGCCAGGTACAGTGGCTTACACCTGTAATCCCAGTACTTTGGGAGACTGAGGTGAGAGGATTGCTTGAGCCTAGGAGTTCAAAGTCAGCCTGGCAACATAGTAAGACCTTGTCTCTACAAATAAAAATTTAAAATGAGCTGGGTATGAGCCTGTAGTCCCAGTTACTTGAGGGGCCAAGACAGGCAGGTTGCTTGAGTCCAGGAGTTGAAGGCCAGCCTGGGCAACACAGCAAGACCTTGTCTCTACAAAAAAATTAAAAATTTAGCCAGGTGTGGTAGTGTGCCTGCAGTCCCAGCTACTCGGGAGGCTGAGCCAGAAGGATTGCCTGAGCCCAGGAGGTCAAGGCTGTGGTAAGCCCTGACGCGCCACTACACTCCAGTTCAGGTGATAGAGTAAAACTCCAACTTGGAAAAAAAATAACAAAATCCTAGAAAACTTAAAACAGTACACTGCCCAGAGATTTACAGAATCGAAAGGTGAAGGGGACTGATCCTCTACTAGTTAAATGAATTACTCATGTCACATTCCTCAACACTCCCAAGGGCTGACTGAATTTAAGTCTCTGGTAACATATTCTCTCCAGAATCCTCAATAACAGCCCACATTAAGTAAGCTTCTCATTTGGAGTCTCTCAACTGCCAAGACTTCCCAAAGCATGAGCTGTGTTCCATGTAAGTGTCCACACTGCCATCACTGGCACCTGTGAATTTCAGCTGGTAACTTCAAGGCCAGCTGCAGATTCGTTTATGCCTGAAAAGCAGGATAAATATTACTTTGAAAATGATACTCATTGAAGTTGACATTTGCTCTAAAGGAGTTCACTCACAGCTTTGATGTTTCAGATAAACTTGGGAAAGACTGAGTCCAAGCACTCTTTCTAAGCAAACACAGCAGGTGCTCACAAAAATCCTATCAAGCACATGTAATCCGAGTAATGGAAATGTTTGGTCTTTCTATCACTAGAAATTTATTTTAGGCCTGGAGAGGAGGGTAAGGCAAAAGAGTGACCTTTCAATCTAACCCATATGAGCAGATTCAGATACAAATAGAGTCAGGTGAAAGAACACGGGTTACTTTATGCATGAGGAGAGAAAAGCTATCAACTGCTAAAGATAAAAAGAAAAAAGACATTATAAAAACATCTGGTAGGGGAGAAGAAACTTTAAACTTAAAATTATAAGTAGGTCCTTTAATTGCTAGCTATTAAGACCTCAAAAGAAAAATACAGAAACACATGATCTATTAATAAACTCAGCCTAGTTACTGAAAGCCTTACGTTGCTCACTAAATGTTATTCTCTAAACATTAAAATAAATAAAGATGAAATTACAGATGTTCCTTGATTTACAATGGGATTGATGGTGTTGATGGCCTTATCCAGACATAACCCCAACATAAGTCAAGGAGTGGACTGAACGCGTACAGTTTTCATCGTTGTAAAGTTGAAAAATCGCTAAGTCAAACCACTGTAAGTTAGGGACCGTGTGTTCTACCCTTATCAGTGGGCCAGGACACAGAACCGGTTTTTAGTACTGACAACTGCTGAATTGCTGGTACTCTCTCACTTCTTATAATGGATGACCTAAATGTTAGACAATTGGGCAAAGATGGAAAGTTTTCTTCAGCCAAGTTGAACCCATGTTAAGTTTAAAACTGAAGTTTGAACCTCATCAGCACCATGTTTTATGTCACTGAGCTAAAAACAAAGGTTCACTTACATACTGAGAATGCTATTTCTTATCCTTCCCTGTGCCTCAGAAAGAAAGATGACGACTGTTTCAAGCCAAGAAAAAATATAAAGGTCAACTAAAAAACATCTACAAAAGACTTAGAAAAAGAAAAAAAACAGGCAACCAGTTCAGAACCCAGAACTCCCACTTCCCAGTCCACGCCTCAGGAGCACAACAGGTTATGATTTTTATCTAATTATTTTAAGGTCACGTAAGTTGATGCAGCCATGCTCTAATAACAGCACCTGCTCACAAGTGCACACTTCCAAGTAGCAGACACTGTACTAGACGCTTCCAACCATCACATCAAATTCTCACTACCCAAATACACTGAATAAAGAAACAGATCAAAAGTGGTTTGTCCTGAGGCACAGCCAGCGAGGCAGAGCTGGAATCCAAACCCAGGTCTGGTGGCTACAAAGCACCTGACCCTTCCACTACACTGCACAGCACCCTCAAAGAAGCCTTAGACTCTCAGATGTAAAGAAAGCCCTACCAGAATTAATGGCTGCTTTCCACTGGAAATCTGCCGCATGCCAGGTGCTTTAAATATGTCACCTCATCTTCTTAACACAACAACCAAGAGAATGACATAAAGTATCCTTTACAGACAAGGAAATATGATCAGAGAAGTGACCTGTACAAGGCACAGGCTAACAAATACCTGAGATTTAAACTGAAACCTGCTTAATTCAAGCTAAAAACACTATTAAGACCCCCCCTGAAAAACACCTACAAAAGACCTAGGGACAGATGACAGACAAACTAATAAATATCTAAGATTTAAGCTGAAGTCTAATTCCAAGTTGACATTCTTTTGACCATGACCTTCAAGTCAGAATGACCTCTGTGTACTCAACAATTCAACAGCACGCCACTTGTACAGGAACTGCAATGGCTGCAAGAAACTTCCAATGCCACTGCACTCAGGATTTCACAACTGGGCGAGATCTGAGAGACACACTCAGTCCCATCACTTTGCAGATTAGAAAACTGAAGCTCAGAGAGATTATGGGTCATCCTTGAGAAAGAAGGGCCTGAAGCAATGGAGAGCAGGCAAGGGCATTCTGGGTAAAGGGTGTATTCTGAAGAAAGGCACAGAGGTCAAAGGAGCATGTTTGTGTCCTAGAACCATAACAACATAAATAATGTGTGCTGCCTGAGGAAAAATGAAGAATGCTGCTGTCAGGTCATGTGGCCAAAGGACATGATTTCTTTTAAAAAAAAAAAATTCTTTTAAAAGGTTTTTCTAGACAACCTTTCAATTTCATAGAATACTTGTCATACCCTACTCAGCCTCATGTAATATTTGATTCAAGTCTGTGCTGTGGCCACATTCCTTCAATTTTATTTGCTGCCATCACTGTGTCTATACTAGCACAGGGATATATACATTGTTCTAACCAATGTCTTCTCACCCAAAACTTATTTTGCTTTTTCTTTTCATTCTGTTTCATGCTCTGGTGTGGGAAACTGAAGGCCTAAAGGCAGGACTTTTAAACTTCTGCATAAAACTTAGAGTTTACGGTAATTTTCACTTTACTCCAAAGAGTATCAACTGAACCACAATAAAGCAAGGAATGCAGCCTCAGAGACTTTATTACATAATGTAATACTATCGTTAATTAATATGACATAAAGAAATGCTGGTCACAGGCCAAAAAAGTTGAGTTCAGCAGTTTGAGTTTCTTAAAGAAAGCTTTAATCAATTATTCTCAAAGAAACAGTTTCAGAAAAAATGTTTTTAAACACTTTAAATATTTAAGAAGTTTTATTCCTAGAAACAAATGCTAACAATAATTTACAAATATATTCATGCTAGTTGTGTAATAACAGAGGGATGGAATATAAAGTGCTCTAAAATGTTCTGAAATCAAAACTGCTTTGTGTACTAGGTTCAGGCATCAAACTTCCAAAAATAAGAGGCTCCAAATTCAAGCGCAGCAGAGGATGTGTGAACGAGGGTGGTGCTGAGATACTGATACCCTGGAGAAAAACCAAGTTTTCAGTTTATGTATCAAGCACATGCTGAGGGCATTAAAAAAGGGAAAGTTCTCTACATCGTTGGTCAGAGCTGCCTCTACGACTCTGCGGTTGGCACAAAGGCAAGCCTAGCTCAGCCCCATCCGGTGGCAGACACCGGCCCTGGGCAAACCGCAGGCCACCGCGGAGGCCTGGGAAGAAGACACAGTGACAGCGAAGGAGGAGAAGCCCGCCTTGGCGAGCCACCCCGGGCAGGTTGCAAAGGGGTGCTGGGGGAAGGGCGGCATCGAGAGCGAGCACTCGACTCAACGGCAGAAGCGAATGAAGGCGCCCGTAAAATGCCAGTTCACCCTCCCGGATACGACGTGGGCACAGGAAGAGCAGGACGGGGGCACTGGAGCCTGCAGGAGCCCGACAGGACCCATTTCACAGACGGGTACAGCGAGGCGGGGGTTTCCGCCCAATCCCGCAAGCAGTGAGCGGTACAGGAGGAGGCTACCCGGAGGCCCTGGGGGTCTCATGCCACCCCCACCCCCACTCCCACCTCCGCCCTCTGCACGGCGCTGGGCGCAAGCCAGGACTGCCTCCCCGGGAATGACCCAGGTCGCAGAACTTCAGGCTCCTGCCCGGAGACCTGGGCTCCCGGCCGCCAAACACCGGGCCGGGAGGAGGGCAGCCAGGCCGGCGGGTCCCGGTGGGTCGGGGCCGGTCCGGTCCTGGCCCTTCGCCCGCACCCCGGCACTCACCCGGATGCCCTTCACCACCGTGATGTTCTCGTTCTCGTCCGCCTCGAAGGTGACCCGGCGCGTGCTGGCGGTGCCGCCCATGGCTGCTGCTCCTGCCCAGACAGGCCCGGCGCGGACCCACGAGCACTCCAGGCCCCGCACACTCCCGCGCGAGCTGGTACCGGGACTCCTTCCCAGGGCAGCAGCAGCAAGGCCACGACCCCAGGAGCAAGTAGAAGGCGCCGGTCCCGAACTCCCGCCTCTTCCGGTCACACGGCACAGCAGAGACATTTAGGATTGGCCGGAAATGCAAACAGCCCGCCTCCATACGCCGAGGGCGCTTGGATTGGTTGGCCTGGACCCGGATGCTATGGCAACAGGTGGTGTTTGACAAGGCTTCCGGAGCCGCTGAGTATGCTGGGAATTGCAGTCTCGGCCGGCGCGATGCGTGCTGGGACATGCTCCTGAGCGCCAAAGGGAGCCTGGGGCACGCTGGGTGTTGTGGTCCTAATGCCCCCAGGCTTCTGGCAGGGCGGCTTTCAGGGAAGTTCGTTCCTCCCACAAACAGGCTTTGAAGAACGCAAAGAGTTCTGGAAATGTAGGACAGTGAGTGAAAAGACGCGTCTCTGCAAGGATCTCGCAGTTTAAGGGGGGAGATGCGCACTTCCCCTAGCCGTTCCTGGAGTTTACAAGTCACAACCTGGCATCTCATTACAGTCGCAACTGGGTTGTGCACGGCTGCTTCTGAGAAAGGCACCTCGTGCACTTGTCATGGAGAGCACCTGCACACGCTGCGCCGTGTGGACCCTGCACACCTGGGCTGTGCTTACCGCCCAAACTCCCAAGCTACAGTCCTGCGCAGCAGGGTACAACCCTGAGTACTGGGGAGCACCTGTAGCACGATGGCTAGTATTTGCCTACCTAGACATATCTAAACATAGAAAAGTCAGTGAGCCCAGCGCAGTGGCTCACACCTGTCACCCCACCACTTTGGGAGGCCAAGACGAGAGGATTGCCTGAGTCCAGGGGTTCAAGACCAACCTGGGCAACTTGGCAAGACCTTGTCTCCACAATGAATCAAAAGATTAACTAGGCCTGATGGTGCGCACCCATATTTACTTGGAAAGCTGAGGTGGTAGGATCACCTGAGCCCAGCATATCGAGGCTGCGGTGGCTGTGATTGTGCCAGTGCACTCCAGCCTGGGCAATGATGTGAGGCTCCAACTCAAAATTTAAAATAAATAAATAAATGGAAGCCCAGATGCAGCAGATTATACCTGTAATCTCAGCACTTTGGGAGGCCAAGGCAAGAGGATTGCCTGAGATCAGCCTGGGCAACTTGGCAAGACCTTTTCTCTACAATAAATCAAAAAATTAGTCAGGCGTGGTGGTGTTCACCTGTAGTTCTGAGCTCCTGAGCCCAGCAGGTTGAGGTTGCCATGGCCGTGAGCATGCCACTGCATTCCAGGCTGGGTATGGAGACTCCAACTCGGGAAAAAAAAAAAAAAAAGGAAAAGGCAGAGAGAACATAGTACTGAGTCCTGGGGGCAACTGTAACACAATGGTGAACCTAGAAGACGTATGGTAAAACTGCAATAGAGACAATTTTTTTAGAATAGTATACCTGTGTAGGGCTCTTACCATAAGTGAAGTCTCCAAGGCTGGAAAGCTCTGGATGAGTCAGCAAGCGAGTGGTGAGGGAATGTGAAGTCATAGGACAGTTGTGTACGCTACTCAGACTTGCTAAATTTATCTTTCAAATATTTTCTCTTTGTATTTTTTTAAATAATTTTTAAAAATTTTTTTAGAAACGAGGTCTCACTCTGTTGCCCAGGTTAGTCTCAAACTCCAGGGCTCAAGAAATCCTCCCACACCTTGGCTTCCCAAAATGCTGGGATGACAGGCATGAGCCACCATGCCCAGCTTGTTTTTCAAGTATTTTCTTTTCAGTAATGAATTAATCTCAGTTTATTATAACTTTTTTACTTTAGAAAATTTTTAAAGTTTTGACATTTTTTATGTTTATCTTTTGCTTTTTAAATTTTTTTGTTAAAAAATAAGACAAAAATTCACACCAGCATGGCCTACAGAGGGTCAAGATCATCAATATTCTGTCTCCATCTTCACATCTTGTCCCACTGGAAGGTCTTCAGAGGCAACAGCATACATAGAGACATCACCTCCTGTGATAACAGCACCTTACGAAATACTTCCTGAAGGATTTACCTGAGGATGCTTAACTCTTTTTTTTATAAGTATAAGGAATATACTCTAAAATAAGAATGCAAAATATAGGATAGTAAATCCTAAACAACAGAAAATGTTCAATCCCCCTATAATCATATGGGACCATCACCGTATATACAGTCTATTGTTAACTGAAACATTGTTATGCTGCTCATGACTGAATTTTAATCTTAGCCATTAAAATAGTAAAATTTTTTAAAGGTGGGGCAGACACAGTGGCTCATATCTGTAATCCCAACACTTTGGGAGGCCAGTTGCTTGAGGCCAGGAGTTCAAGACCAGCCTGGGAAACATTGTGAGACACCCCCCTCCATCTCTATTAAAAGGAAAAAAAATACATTTAATCTGTGTTCCTTTTCCATGAATTATGTACTTGTTTTATTTCCTTTTGGAAAGTAAAATTTTGAATACTATTGTTTTCAAATATGCATACAAGAAAATATGGAAAATAAGTTATTTGCACCAAGCATGCAGGGCATGGACTTCCCACATTTGTGTCTCTTTCCACTTGTTACATAAGTTGGGTCATCACAGGATTCAGCAGAGAAACATAAAGTGATCACCAAGATGGCTTAATTAGTGGAAGAATCAAAACTACAACACAGTTGAGGTATCATTTTGTGGAAAATGTCTACTTCAATATTTCCCCTCTATAAGATTGGTAAATAATTTGTAGTTTCTCCATGTACAATGTAATTAATTTTGCTAAACAGCATTACACATTTTCTTAGCTTTATGACCTTGGTCTTCAAGAGGCAAATGTATTCTCAATAGAAATTAAGCCAATGGGCTGGGCATGGTAGATTATTTATGCCTGTAATCTCAGCACTTTGGGAGGCTGAAGCAGCAGGCTTACTTGAGACCAGGAGTTCAAGACCAGCCTGGGCAACATAGCAAGATCCCATCTGTACAAAAATTTTAAAAATAAAATAGGTCAATGATGATACTATCTTCAGCTAATCTCTCTCAACATATCAAGGAGCAGATCACAACACACCATGGCACCCTCTTATGCCAAAGGCATCCACTGCAATGCAGTTTCATTTTTGAGTTTCAATTATGTACAGCTCTGTTACTGTAAGAATATTTAGGGCAGAAATTGTGTCTTTTTAATCTCTATATCTGTCTGGGCATGGTGACTAACACCTGTAATCCCAACACAATGGGAGGCCAAACCAAGAAGATTGCCTGAGCCCAGGAGTTCAAGACTAGCCTGTGCAACTTGGTGAGACCTCAACTCTACAATAAATCAAAAATTATCCAGGTGCAGTGGTGTATGCCTGTAGTGCCAGCTATTCGGAAGGCTGAGGCAGAAGGATCACCTTAACCCAGCAGGGTAAGGCTGCGGTGACTGGGAGTGTGCCACTGCACTCCAGCTTGGACAATAGAGTGAGACTCTGACTCAAAATAACAAAAAATGTCAGGAAGGAAGATGGCAACCGCGTCAGTTATGCAAATCTCAGTGAGAGTGTGAGTGTATGGAAAATTTTGTGTAGGTGAGTGGGCTTGTAAGTGACTGACTGAGTGAGGACTCAGGAGCAAGTGAGCAGGGCTCTCCTAGTGAAGCAGCTGGTGCCACATCTGTTCGGCTTGATCTCTAGTGATTCCCAGGATACAGAAGCCAAGCACTACTTTTTTCTTTCTTCTTCTTTTCTTTAATCAACAAAACCCTTCCTGAGAAGAAGATGCTGAGAGAGACTGACTAAGTGGGAGCTTGTGAGCAAGTGCCCAGGGCTTTCCTGGTAAAGCAGCTGATGAGGCAGCTGCACTGCTTGGTCCCTAGTACTTCCCAGGTTGCAGAAGCCAAGCACCATTCTTTTTTAACTGACAAAAGTCTTCCTGGGAAGAAGCTACAGGGAGAGATGACTGGCTTCAGGATCTGCCTCACCACTGCAATGGGAGAAACTGCCAACTCCAGTCTATGTCTCACCACTGCAGCACCTGGTTGGACACTGGCAGCAAGGACTACAGAGGGATGCCAGAGGCAGGGCCCCACTGGAGAAGACAAATGAGGCACCCTGCCACCATCTTGAAAGCAGGGCAGGAAAGTGCTCCAACTTGCTCACCACAAAGCAATAGACCTGATCTCTGTCACCGGCAGATCAACCACTCAGGGGTTGATAGTGAACCAGAGGGAATATCCTGAAAGCACAAACTCCAGAGGATCAGGATGAGTGCTGAGTCTCAGATGCCAGACGCCCACCCTCTACCCTGATTCAGCTGCAGGGACAAAGGGTATGGCCAGAAAAGGATGAGCAAGACTCCAAAGAGATCAGTGAACAAATCCAGAGCTCTGACAAGGGAAGAATAGATGGCTGAGCAAACATCAGAAGTGAAAGCTTCTTCCACTGCCACTGAATAATGGAACTAAAGAGAAAAGAAAGACATCTGTCACAAATGAGGAAAAACTAATGGAAGACCACAGGTAATTTTCAGAGTAAAAAAGAGAAAATACCTGGAAAATCAGACCTCAGAGCCCAAACAATGGAAGTCACCAATGACTGGCCCTGGACTATGACAGGGATTAGAGAATAAACAGAAAGCATAAACAAGACTCAAGAAGGACAAGATACAACACTGAAAGAACTTGTAACAGAGATTTTGGCCATAAAAAAATTTCATCTAGAAATAAATAACAAGATGACAAGCGCGGAAAGTAGAATTAATCAAACAGAAGAAAGAGTTTCAGAATGTGAAGACCAGAACAAGGAATTAACTCAATCTGTAAAAAACATAGAAAGAAAACTTAGAAAGAAAGAACAAAGCCTACAAGAGATGTGTGATTATATCAAGAGGCCAAACCTACACCTGATTGGTATCCCAGAAGAAGAAAGGGAAATGGAGAACCTTGGAGCAAGTATTCCAGGAGGTAATCCAAGAAAACTTTCCCCATCTCACCAGAGAGGTGACCAACCAAACACAAGAGATACAGAGATCTCCCACAAGACATCAAATAAGAAGACCAACCCCTAGACACATAGTAATTTGCCTACACAAAATAGATACAAAAGAAAAAATCCTGTAGACAGCAAGAGCAAAAGTCAGACTACCTACTGAGGAAAACAAATGAG